TGCGATGTTATGACAAAATAAATGATCGGAAAAATATGAACCCTGGTCCAAGGACTGTATCAGAGAAAGATTATGGCAGCGCTCTCAAACAAGCAGTTCATGTGAGGGCAGGAAAAGCCTTTCGTTCAAAATTTAATTTAACAAATCAAGTCACTGATACAGTCAGGCAGCGGGTTAGCGCTGACATAAGTGAGTTTGAAGATGAAAGTCTGTTTTGAGAGCAGTTCTTAAAACAAAAGAGAGGCTTTTATATGTGCAGAGTGATACTCTGTCTCTGTCAGCTGAATTAGATTAAATACAAATCCTGGTTCTGAGTTTGAGAGGGAAGCGCCTCATGTGGGTGTTTCTGTGTTGTGAGATTCTGGTCTGTATCGGGGTTCATGTGGCTTTGTGGTAGTCTGATGGTGACACAGTTATCTGCACTCATTGATTCATCAGCTGGGGGGAAGGGATGCTTCTTATTTTTAATCCAAGAGAGATATGGAGGAACCAGCACTTCCATAAATACACACATAAACACACACACACACACACATATGCATGCAGGAAAATGATGTCAGCTGCACTGTAAACAGAAATAACAGAACTACCAATCAGCACGCGCTCTTTAGCAAATTACAGGGAAAATTAGAGTGTGAGAGCAGGATGAAGGGATGAAGTGCAGATAGAGCTGCAGAGCGAAGGGAGAGCTTTTCCCCAGATTACAGCACAGCTACAGATTATGGCCCGTGGATTATGAGGGTTTGACCAAACCAAAAAAAAAAAAAAAAGTGGAGGCAGAAAGACAAACAAGTTGTTTTTTCCTGTGTCCTTTCAGGCTGTTTGGTAGTGGGTTTGTGAACGGTTTCTTCCTGCTATCCGGTGCCTGCATCTCTCTAATGCTCACGTGTGTGTCACATTTACACAATGAAGCACGTGCTCTACACCCAAACATGCTATAAATATACGCAGACACACTCATGTATGTATGACAGCGATAGTGTCACTCTAAAGATGCAAAGACTGATCCATTAATTAGTAAGTCAGTGTAGAAAAAATGAATCAAGGTTCTTTTGGCGTTGTTTTTTTTCTAAGCACCTAATTTTATTTTTATTTTTTTTTGGGGGGGGGGCTTTTAAACCATTGTTTAAAATGGAGGTCACCTTGTATTCTGATGAATTATGATGGGGTATTTGAAACTACTAGTGCAGAGACTACATCCCACGATACGATATTATCACAATACTTAACACACGATACGATATTATTGCAATTTTTTAAAATATTTTGCGATATTCAGATTCTGTACATAAAGGTAAACTTTATCAATATTCATTTTATAATAATAATAATGGATACTTTATTGATCCCCATGGGGAAATTACTTGTTTTTCTCTGCATTTGACCCATTCACTCAGTGAAGCAGTGGGCAGCCCACTAAGCAGGCGCCCGGGGAGCAGTGTGTAGGGACGGTACCTTGCTCAGGGGTACGTCAGGGTAGCCGTTAAGTGGATTCGAACCACCGACCTTCCGATCATGGGGCGACCACTTTACCTACTGAGCTATCCCTGCCCCTATCTAATATCAAAGTCTCACACTCAGTCTTTCTCTCATTTCAGTCAGTTTTATTGTTGACAAACTTGAACGGTTTGTATTACAGTCTAGTCCAACTTAACTGAATTCAACCATCTGGTACAATTATAGCTATTCTGAACTATGCAATTTATGAAAACTACGCAGCCCATTCAGCAACTGAAGAATTTGAAAGTAAATTAAAACAAAATATAATTTTACATTAAATAAAAAAGTTTTAAACTTAATTAAAATAAAACATGTCTTAAATTAAAATAAGTAAACTGTCATGTTTATTGCTGCCAAAAAAAAAGTTAAACGCATTTGGACAGTGAAGGAATGTCAGGATTCTTGCTCAGAAAAAGGATCAACATGCTCTGAAGTCAGAGCACAAAAACCTTTTTTGTAACAAAATATCGATTTCTGCTGTCCCTGTATCGATACATTATTAGCAAACAAAATATCACGAAATATCCCCCACCCCTAATATATATACAGTGGGGCAAAAAAGTATTTAGTCAGCCACTGATTGTGCAAGTTCCCCACCTAAAATGATGACAGAGGTCAGTAATTTGCACCAGAGGTACACTTCAACTGTGAGAGACAGAATGTGAAAAAAAAATCCATGAAGTCACATGGTAGGATTTGTAAAGAATTTATTTGTAAATCAGGGTGGAAAATAAGTATTTGGTCAATAACAAAAATACAACTCAATACTTTGTAACATAACCTTTGTTGGCAATAACAGAGGTCAAACGTTTACTATAGGTCTTTACCAGGTTTGCACACACAGTAGCTGGTATTTTGGCCCATTCCTCCATGCAGATCTTCTCGAGAGCAGTGATGTTTTGGGGCTGTCGCCGAGCAACACGGACTTTCAACTCCCGCCACAGATTTTCTATGGGGTTGAGGTCTGGAGACTGGCTAGGCCACTCCAGGACTTTCAAATGCTTCTTACGGAGCCACTCCTTTGTTGCCCGGGCGGTGTGTTTTGGATCATTGTCATGTTGGAAGACCCAGCCTCGTTTCATCTTCAAAGTTCTCACTGATGGAAGGAGGTTTTGGCTCAAAATCTCACGATACATGGCCCCATTCATTCTGTCCTTAACACGGATCAGTCGTCCTGTCCCCTTGGCAGAAAAACAGCCCCATAGCATGATGTTTCCACCCCCATGCTTCACAGTAGGTATGGTGTTCTTGGGATGCAACTCAGTATTCTTCTTCCTCCAAACACGACGAGTTGAGTTTATACCAAAAAGTTCTACTTTGGTTTCATCTGACCACATGACATTCTCCCAATCCTCTGCTGTATCATCCACGTGCTCTCTGGCAAACTTCAGACGGGCCTGGACATGCACTGGCTTCAGCAGCGGAACACGTCTGGCACTGCGGGATTTGATTCCCTGCCGTTGTAGTGTGTTACTGATGGTGACCTTTGTTACTTTGGTCCCAGCTCTCTGCAGGTCATTCACCAGGTCCCCCGTGTGGTTCTGGGATCTTTGCTCACCGTTCTCATGATCATTTTGACCCCACGGGATGAGATCTTGCGTGGAGCCCAGATCGAGGGAGATTATCAGTGGTCTTGTATGTCTTCCATTTTCTGATGATTGCTCCCACAGTTGATTTTTTTCACACCAAGCTGCTTGCCTATTGTAGATTCACTCTTCCCAGTCTGGTGCAGGTCTACAATACTTTTCCTGGTGTCCTTCGAAAGCTCTTTGGTCTTGGCCATGGCGGAGTTTGGAGTCTGACTGTTTGAGGCTGTGGACAGGTGTCTTTTATACAGATGATGAGTTCAAACAGGTGCCATTCATACAGGTAACGAGTGGGGGACAGAAAAGCTTCTTACAGAAGACGTTACAGGTCTGTGAGAGCCAGAGATCTTCCTTGTTTGAGGTGACCAAATACTTATTTTCCACCCTGATTTACGAATAAATTCTTTACAAATCCTACCATGTGGATTCATGGATTTTTTTTTCACATTCGGTCTCTCACAGTTGAAGTGTACCTCTGGTGCAAATTACTGAGCTCTGTCATCATTTTAAGTGGGGGAACTTGCACAATCGGTGGCTGACTAAATACTTTTTTGCCCCACTGTGTGTGTACATATACATATATATATATATATATATATATATATAAATATATATAAAAATATGTAGAAGTTATAAAATTTTGGGCCATTATTGCTTATGTTCAGACCACTTAATAATAAAAAATGACGCTTTAAAAAGAGTAAATGAACAAAAAATACTTCGTCTCAGGAAGGTTTTATAAGTTATGGCCACATTGAGGCCTTGCCCCGTTTTATTATTAGCCATAGCCGCTAGCTGCTACCGAAATGATAGCTTAACACAGCGGTCCCCAACCCCCGGGCCTCGGACTGGTACCGGTCCGTGAATCGTTTGGTACCGGGCCCCGAGAATTGAGGCTCAGGGGTGAAATGCATAGTTTTCAGTGTTTTTATCGGTTCTCAGCGTTATTTTGTTATCATTTTTATCGTTTACTCGGTTTTCCTTGGTCTTTTCACGTGTGTTATGAATAAATTTTCTTTTTTTCGGTACTAGTTTTATTTTGTTTTATTTATCCCCGACACCTTAAAGGCCGGTCCATGAAAATATTGTCGGGCATAAACCGGTCCGTGGCGCAAAAAAGGTTGGGGACCGCTGGCTTAACAGACGGCTAGTGTGGCTATCAGCTAATTGCTAATAGTTAAACAGCTAACATTAACGTATGTGGGGCGTAATTTCCATGGGGGGTTAGGGGGGTTATGTTCAGCACAAAGTTACGCCGATGCTGCCAGGCTAACATTTATGATAACTGTTTATTATCAAAGTGCTGTTGAGATCTGCCGTGTGCCTATCTGGCTGCAGCGCTGCTGTGTGAAGTTGTGCGTCAACTGGAGCAGTCAAAGATGGCATCTATGGTATAGAAACTGTTAGATAGAGACAGACTATCTAATATGAGCTTAATTTTTAGTAGTGTTATTACTGTTTTAGTATTTGAGCATTTAATTTTTTGCAACCCTAGCAGGTTATGAGCTTTACTAGTTATCAGCTAGGCACTCGCTTATCTCCACTTTAGGTTCTTATGACAAACCATCATAAGGTCCTTTTGTTTTCACCTGCTCTCCTAAATATACTCATATATTTTTGCATATAGATCAAGTTTATGTGAGAGAACACATTAAAATCTGAGCTTTTGTTTTTTTTATGAGAGTCCTATAATTTCTTTACCTTCATTACATGGTCGATTCTCTTTAACACACTGAAGTTATACAGTAGGAGTATGTCTGGAAACACTCACAGATGTGAACATGTTGCTTCAACTTTACCGGCTCTCAATTAAATATTGAATGAACAGGACAGAAGAATATACTTGTCCCTAGATTAAAGTTTAAATTTGAACTTTTTTTGAAATGCTTTTCTTACTCTTTGTTACCCTTTCAGAGCTTCTCGGAGCAGCAAAGCGGGTGAACGTCAACATCCAGGATGCAGATGGGTGAGGGATCACAGATGTTTCACATCACCTCCTGTTCCAGCTGTTTACTCTATCATTACACCTCTTTCTTTATCACTCCATTTTCATTCCATCTTTTATAATAACCTATTTCTTTCTTCATGGCCCTGAAAACACTCACAACACTATCAACACAACTGAATCCTCAGATCTTTTCTTGTTTTCTCAGATTTTGAGGTAGTTGTTACTCAGCCATCGAGCCGCTCACTAAAATTCAAAGATCTAATACATCTTAATTTGCTCTTTAGTTGTATGAGCCTCACATGTAAAGATCCCGCATAATAACATGTAAAAAAAACACCTTCAGATTTTTCCCACTTGTTTTTACCATCCTGATTGTAGCATATGTGCCCCGTCTTCCTAACAGTTGGGCCAATCTGAAGGAAACTTAAAAAAAAAAGACTTTTATTATAGATCCGCGTTTAGCAAAGACTGAAAATCTCCACAGGCTTGGCTGAAACTGAATTGAATGTGTACATGAACATTCATATACATAAAAAATGAGGAAAACCCAGAGATGCTCATCTTTTCCACACTCAGTCATAAATTGAAGACTGCTCTGATTCATTCGGGCTCCTTCATAAACCCCCATTTTGTCCGTGCTTAAACACAAGGCTTCCTGGTGACAGTCCATGATTATTTCCTCCTTTTCTATTTTTATACCTTACAATAGCTTCCAGTGGGTCAGTCTGGATCATGTGGTGGGCGACCTCTGGCCAGGAGATCTGTGCTGTAATTGAAATAATCATATGAATTAAATGAAACTGAAAAGCACTTTCTGTTAACTGATTTTGACTCACATCCAAACTAATGCAGAACCTGTGAGCTGAGGTCACAAATAGATCATTTTAAGAGCTCTGTTATAAAATGTCTCATACCTCGCTGATATTAAACATGAGACAGTTATCATGAGAAAAATAAACACCAAAGCCCGATGCTTGTGGGCTGTAGCTGATCCATGTTGTGAATATCTAATTAACTGTGGCAAACAAATAGGAAGAAAAATCTTCAAATAATCAATAGGCTAGCAAGCCGTTATTACTGTTCACATTATCTCCTGTTTAAATCTGTCTTTGGCTCATAGGAGTGTAGCCAGCTGAAGACCTCAGATCTGAAGACTGTAATTATCACCTTAAAGCAAAGCCAACATTTCCCAGCTCCTAATTTGCTCAGAAATATTCCCTTATCAGCTCTGAATGTTCAACTATGGATTTTGGCTATATTTAGCTTCATGATTGGTTAAGCTTTTTGTGTGCACATGCTTGGTTTACGGCTGTGTTCCGTTTGACTCCATCAGATAACAAAGATCTTTTTATGATGTTGATTGGATTCAGATAATTGGACTCAGCTTCTTGTGTAATGACTGATGAGTCGTTGATTTGACTCCAGGGCCCCGCTCTTATGTTCACCACAGATCCATTAGACCCACACACAGATGCCCTGCGCGTACGCTCGACTCCGGGGGAGAGAGATTGCTTATTAATGGAAGTAGGTCATTTCCACCCGCCCTCCCCGCACGCGCTCCCATCGTCACACAGAGCTGTGGGGCGGAGCAGCTGTACGCCGAAGATTACTTTAGCAAAGTTGTGCTCAGGTTTTACACTATGCATTTGAATGTGTGTATTTTTATACATAATCTGTGTCTGTGTGAAGGCTGTCGCCGTTGCATCATGCTGCTCTGAGTGGCAACAAGGAGATGATCTCTCTGCTGTTGGAGGCCCAGGCAGCAGTGGATATCAAAGACCATAAAGGTAAAAAAAAAATGCACACAGGCTTTCACAGTGTCACTGGGATACGCTGTGCTGCTACAAAATAAGGCACAAAACACACACACGAACACACACGGCTGTGCAGAAAAAGCCCAAAAACAAATACTTTCCGGCTTTCCCTGTGTGACAAATAATACCGGCTTATGTAATAAAAGGTGAGCTTGTTGGAAATGCAATTTATGTCTGTGGCGTGCATTTATGAGGAGCGACAGATTTGTTTGCACAGTCAACAATAGAAAACAGAAGAAGGAAAGCTCCATGGCTGCAGGAGTGAGAGCCAAGTGGGAAGCAGAGCAGAGAATATCTCGATCCTACGTTGGCAGATTCAAGAAGAAGGAGGAGAAGAAGAAATCTCAGGGCAGATGGGAGTTATAATCCCTCCAGGATGTAGGCCTACTGTGTCTGCACTTTCAGTCATGCCCAGTGTGCCTCTAAATAGACTTACCAGGCCTCTTTTGGTGAACCTACTGCTTTAATGGGTGTGATTTTGCAGAGGCACCAGGAAACAGCACATCTTCACCTTCTACGAGTAGGTGTTTGACTGTGTGCTTTATTAACAGAACATAGGAGGTGATTGTAGTCAGGGTAGTGGCCCAAAAAATACTAATAATGTTTCTGAGATTTAAGATTTGTCCAACCAGATGGAACCAGCCAACTTTGTCTTAAAGAGAACTGTTTCCGGTGTTAGGAAAACATACTTCTGCAAGATGCCAGCTTAAGTTGCCTCAACATCCTGAGGGCCTTTGCTTTGGAGCTGTATATCCTCCAGACAAACATCACAAAAAGGAAATGTGGAAAGTGGCTATGTGTTCAGCCAGAATAATCACAGGAACAAGTGAAGGGTATTTCCAAAGACAGAAAGTTGGAACATGTCCATCCCTTCATGCATTCATCCCTTTTCTTAAGTGCTTATCCGATTCAGGGTCACAGAGTGCTGGAGCGTATAGCTATTGGGCAAGAGGTGAGGTAAACAGTCTATCTGATATCGTGTTGATGTTGTTCCTGGATCAACATAATAATGTTTGTCTGCGATCAACATTGCATTTGAATAATCACTTTAGGATATCATAGCTTTGTGGCTTGGAAGACCCCTTACCAATGTCTGCTCTAGAGATGGACCGATCCGATATTAAGTATCGGTATCGGTCCGATACTGACGTAAATTCCTGGATCTGATATCGGAGAGAAATAAAAAATGTAATCCGATCTATTAAATATCAAAAAAGCACCTCACAAAACTTGCGACATGGTGTAACTCAGCTCATAACCGTAGCATGTCGGAGCAGTGTGGTCACGTGATAGAGCGGCTGTGTGTATTTGTAGCCTCGCTACCAAACCGGCATTTCATCTCCGAGGAAGTTATCCCAGAGAGAAGTAAAGCAAGTGTGTAAGTTTATCTCTGAATGTTTGTGAAGCACTCCGTGTTAAGCTTAACGATATATGAATGCCTTTCTTCTTTGCTGCTTCATCATGACTGATTTGATATGATCTTTTATGTCTTCTTTTTTGTTTATCGACTTCGCGAGAGGAACAGCGTGAACACACACGTTTAGCTTGATATTTTTGTTAGAATTTATTTAATATTACTTTCTACACCAGGATCCTTTTCTGTGTAGCTGACGGCTGGTAACTGTGCAGGGGCGGATCTAGCAAAGTTTAGCCAGAGGGGGCCGACAGGGCATTAACAGGGAAAAGGGGGCACAAAGACATACTTTTCTTCTTATTCTCATTTAAAATGTCTAGCTTTTAATAAATAATTATCTGAATCTTACACCCAAAGTTTTAATCTTATGTAAAATGTATAGAAGTCCATTACTGTATATAGTAACTGTTAAGTCTAATATACCCTAGTAAGCTATAGTACTTCATCATCATGTGCAGTCTGCAATTCTGTTGAAGAAAGATGTTGAATCTATTTAATTATTCTTGAAAAATAATTGATTTCTGTGCAATTTTTTTCACACTGCATCAAATTAAAGTCGATTACGTCGATTAAGCATCATGAGGTGGAGGGGGGGGTGGTTCCCTTTTTTTTTTTTTTTTTTTTTTGCTGGGAGTTTTAGAGCCCTATTAGTTAGGTTGCTTACTCTTTAAAATACCAGAATAGGGAGGATGGAGTAGGTTTAAGTTTATTAGATTGATCAGTATTGCTGAACTATGAAATATTTTGGGTGCAGGGTAGTTTTTGCATACAGGTATAACAGAATAGCTTTAATGTTTTTTTTTAACCCTATGAACTGATACAAAAAGCAGCAAGATATTAAAAAAACAGTTTTATTGATTAAAAAACACTATATCGGATTCATATCGGTATTGGCAGATATCCAAATTTATGATATCGGTATCGGACATAAAGAAGTGGTATCGTGCCATCTCTAGTCTGCTCAGGAAAAAATCCAAATCCAGAAGGGTTGGTGGGAGTTAGAGTTACACTTTGCTATGTGGTGTGATGGTTTATTCTGCAAAACTATGACATCACTGCAATATGATTGATCATTTCCAATGTTGAACCTGGACCAACATTAGTTTTGTTGGTCCATGAACAACACCTAACACAACAATATCAGATGGTGTGAAGTACAGATACCAGTCCTGTTGATGAATTAAGGACTTTCCAACTGTCCCGCTCTCCAAGAGTAACTGCCTCCCATGACACTGACACGGCAAACCTTCCGGCACAACTACTGATGTTGTTAATTTAATTAACACCAAAGCAGCTGAAACTGATTAGCAACCCCGTCTCTACTTAACTGACCACATCAATATACCAGATGCTTTATTGATGTGATGCTACAGTATACGCTGACTGAAATTATCTTAAACAGTGTGTTATGTTTTCAGTGGGTGACATGTCTGGACTGCAGACCAGCCAGCTAAGAACCCAGAATCTGTGACTTTGGAGGTGCTCTGTTCCTGAAATAAGCAAGGCGTTTCCTGAGTAGTTTCATACCTTTTCCAAAACGTGCATATATTGTTTAGCAGTGGTGGTTCTCTCAGAAATTAAGACTTTAAAGAACGTAACCAGTGCTGGCTTTTAAGTTGCATGCATGGTCGCTCTTCTGTTTAGTGCAGAGGACACAGCGTCCATGATTTACAAAAAAATGTAACCTTTGGATTTGTTGAAGACCACACAGCGACAGAAGCATTTAAGAATCGTTCATTTTTTTCCCTTGAATACTCAGATTTTACCTTAACCGTGTGTTTCTGAGCCCATGCAGTCACAATCAGAATCTGTTATTAATGCATTGCTGCATGAGGCCCAAAGATCACAGCCATTTAAGATTGGCTTTTCAACCTTACCCCCTGAGTAAAGACATTCTTTAATATCGTTTAATGGTATTGTGTGCTGTGACCGATTCACTTCTTTTTTGGTGCATGTAATTAACCTAAAAAATAAATAAATATGAGCCCCTACTTGATGTTTTTAGGTTAGTCTTATCAAAACATTATTAACGGTTAAAATGAGAAAACACTGCCGCCTTCCAAATACAGCGCTATTAATAAAATACGCCTGATGCTGCACATCAGTCACAGTTTCTCAACAAGACAGGATTATACTCATTTCTTTTAGGACTTTTGAAAAAATGGCCTCTGAACTGATTCGTGTACGTCGAGCATTTCCTCTGATTTCTCAGTGTTGCTCTTATTCCTGCGCAGTCCGCTCTTCTCGTGCCCAATCACACTTTCGAGAAGATCTTTGAGACCGTGTGATAGTAATTTGGCCTGAAATCTCTAAGCTTTAGATTCTGTAACTCCTGCAGCTGCTGTGCCTCTTTATCCTGCCAGCACCTATCCTCTGACTCAGGCGTCTCTCATGCCAGCTGAGGCTGGAGGGGCCTTTTTATTCAGCTCAATGGTGTGGCTCATCTCTAGTGTCAAGACTGGAGGTCTTGGTTTGCTGCCATGAGAAACACGCTCACTGCTTCTCGAAGCCACCGCTGCAAAGTGGTATTAGATGTCTTCTGGTTAAAGGCAAGGCAAGGCAAGGCAAGGCAAGTTTATTTGTATAGCACAATTCAACAACAAGGTGATTCAAAGTGCTTTACAGAGACATTAGAAACAAGAACAAATAAAAAGCATGATTTAAAATTGAATAAAACAAGCAAACTAACTAACTAACTAATTAACAAACAAACAAACAACAGTATATAAAATCAAAACAGATAAAATCAGAACAGTAGATAAAATCAGTAGTTAAATGTAAGTTTTGAAATTTAAGCTTAAAGTGTGGATTTGGTGCTTTATTCAAATGCAGCTGAGAACAGGTGAGTCTTCAACCTGGATTTAAATAAACTGAGTGTTTCAGCTGATCTGAGGCTTTCTGGGAGTTTGTTCCAGATATAAGGAGCATAAAAGCTGAATGCAGCTTCTCCGTGTCTGGTTCTGACTCTGGGAACTGATAAAAGACCGGATCCAGATGACCTGAGGGATCTGGAAGGTTCATACTGGGTCAGGAGGTCATTGATGTATTTTGGTCCTAAACCATTCAGAGCTTTATAGGCCAGCATCAGAACTTTAAAGTCTATCCTCTGACGGACAGGCAGCCAGTGTAAAGACCTCAGAGCTGGACTGATGTGGTCCACTTTTTTGGTCTTAGTGAGGACTCGAGCAGCAGAGTTCTGAATGAGCTGTAGTTGTCTGACTGATTTTTTAGGTAGACCTGTAAAGATGCTGTTACAGTAATCAAGCCTACTAAAGATGAATGCATGGACTAGTTTTTCCAGGTCCTGTTGAGACATCAGATCTTTTATCCTTGATATATTCTTGAGGTGATAGTAAGCTGACTTTGTTATTGTCTTAATGTGTTTTTCTAAGTTTAGGTCTGCATCCATCACTACACCCAAATTTCTCGCCTGGTTTGTGGTTTTTAGATGTATAGATTGAAGTTCTCTGGTGACCTGTAATCGTTTTTCTTTGGCGCCAAAGACTATTACTTCAGTTTTGTTTTTGTTTAGCTGGAGAAAATTGTGGCACAACCAGTCATTAATTTCCTCAATGCATTTACCAAGAGCCTGTACAGGGCCTCGGTCTCCTGGTGACATTGTGATATATATTTGTGTGTCGTCTGCATAGCTGTGATAGTTTATTTTGTTGTTCTTTATAATCTGTGCCAGTGGGAGCATGTAGATGTTAAACAGAAGGGGTCCCAAGATGGAACCTTGGGGAACTCCACATGTGATACTTGTCTGCTCAGATGTGAAGTTACCTATTGATACAAAGTATTTCCTGTTTTCTACGTATGTTTTGAACCAGTTTAGTACAGTTCCTGAAAGACCTGCCCAGTTCTCCAGTCGTTTGAGTAATATGTTGTGGTCAACTGTATCAAATGCTGCACTGAGATCCAGTAAAACTAGGACTGACATTTTTCCACTGTCTGTATTCAGACATATGTCATTAAACACTTTGGTCAGAGCGGTTTCAGTGCTGTGGTTCTGTCTAAAACCTGACTGGAAGGCATCGTAGCAATTATTCTGTTTTAAGAAGTAACTGAGCTGTTGAGAAACTGCTTTTTCAATGATCTTACTTAAAAATGGGAGATTTGAGATCGGCCTGTAGTTGTTCATTTGTGTCTTGTCAAGATTGTCCTTTTTCAGTATAGGTTTGATTACAGCAGTTTTTAGTGATTCTGGAAACACACCTGATAATAAAGAAAAGTTGACGATCTGTAACAGGTCTGACTCTAAAGTCTTTGAGACCTTTTTGAAAAAACTTGTTAAAGGCAGCGATAAGGAGTCCGCACTGATGTTTTGCACAGCAAAACTTGGCATCACCTTGTATGCTGTGCATGGCTCTGGGAGTCGCTGTGCAGTTCCCTCCGAGGGTTTCTTGGGGCCATAGAAAGAAAGGGGTTGGACTTCTCTTGCCCTTTGTGTTCAAAGTGTTTGTCTCAAACATCCCATGATGCCCTATTTGGGCTGTTACCTTGTGACTTTGTCCACCAATAGTTTTTTCAATTGCTTTGCTGGTTGTTTAGTGAATACACTCTCTGTCGAGTCTCATAGCATGCAGGCCCAACACGTTTTGTTAAAGAGAAACTGGAACCAATGTATTTTCCTGTAAATATAACATTTGTTTTAATTAGCTTCAATTAATTACTGTTGTAGTACATCTGGTTAATTTTCTTTCAATGCAATAATTGTTTAAGCTCTCCTAATCTCTCAGACTAACAGGCCATACAGAGGGAATTAACCATGAGAACATTTGTTAACAAGTAAATTTAGTGATTTCTCTGTAAAATCAGCACCAGATAGATTTCTGTCTGCTTGGTATCTAATGCCAAACTAACCTAAACTAACAAAAAATTTGTATTTGCTTGCACTCATGTGTCTTTACATTCTCATTTTTTTGTACGTGCCTGTGTGCATGTGGTTGTGGGTTGTGTTGTGTGTCTGTTTTATTGTGCCGTCATGTTGGCTGTGTATGTTTGTGTCCTTGTTTGTGTGTGTTTTGTGTAGGAATGCGTCCCCTGCATTATGCTGCATGGCAGGGGAAGACTGAGCCTATGAAAATGCTGCTGAAGGCAGGCTCGTCAGTCAACGGACAGTCAGATGAAGGACAGATCCCGCTCCACCTGTCAGCTCAGCATGGACACTATGATGGGGTAACTGTTTGTGTGTGTGTGTGTGTGTGTGTGTGTGTGTGTGTGTGTGTGTGCACTGTAGGTGCTTTACTGTGCACAGAGCCAGTGTTTGTGTTATGTGAGATCTGTGTAGTTGTTATGTGGGCTTGATGCTGTGTGCCTGATACGTGGTTGTTGCAAGCTCAGCTTTAAATGTGTTGGTAACATTTGTTTGTTTGTGTGCGTCTGTGTGTTACAGTCGGAGATGTTGCTGCAGCACCAGTCCAACCCGTGCATCTCAGACACAGCTGGGAAAACTCCACTGGACCTCGCTTGCGAATTTGGACGTGTTGGAGTGAGTACAACAATAACTACAACTGGGTTCAAAACAGAAGATTTTTTTTTACCCTATCAACAATATGTTTTACCTAAAAATGATAAATGGTGAAGATGGATGTAACATCACCATCACCCATTGGTTTTGGACTCCACATTTTAAAGCTTCACATTAAATTTTTGCTGCCACCATCTTGTTTTTTCTTTAAGCCAGAAGTTATCTTGGCCACTAACCAGGTGACGTTAACTTGCCTGTTATTTTGGATGTGTGAAACCAACTGAAAACCAGTGATTGTGAGGGAAGAATGAGTATTGCCCAACTGGGTTTGACTGGGTTCGAGGTTGATAGCAGCTGCTGGGAAAATGATTTCTAAAGCCGCAGTTACTCAGGCCTAAAGACAATTTAGTGAGCCCCAATAGCTACCTCCTATTGGTAGGAAAAAAGCATGTCTCCCCCAACTGGTGTACAAAAACCTATTTGTGATTGCTTTGGTTGCTAAAATGTTGTTGCGTTGGTAATTTGTGACGAATAAGTGACGAACTTGTCTATAAACACCAGCCAGCCGCTCTCCGAGCTGTAAAGAATCTGTGAAAATTGTCACACAGACCAAAAGCAGACACCCTTTAAAATGTTGGCTGTATTCCTCAGGCACAACTTTTACTGTTAAGGCAAGTCTTCCTCATTTACAGTTTGCGTTGCTTGTAGCTAGCAAGTATTTTCATACAAAAATGAAGAACTACAGGCAACTGTGGCAATCTGCTAGCAACCAAAGTAATCACAAAGAGGTATTTAGTTAATTCGCTATCAACCAGTGGATGTATCATGTCCAGTTTGGCGGACAATTCTTGAACAATGTCCTTTTGATGTCACATGAAAAACCAAAGTAAATTATTGCAACTGTTAGCATGCTAACATGCTAAACAGATCACATCAACTCACTTGCATGTTAAGATTTGCTTAGTAATAGACCCTGTGCACGAGAAAATGCTAACTTCCTGGTTTGAGACCGGATGTGGGGTTGTACATTTCCGGTAGCTTTATTAAAATCATGTCCAAAACTCGAAAACGGAAAGATCGCGTTAAGTTACAAAGATGAGAAGGTGGGAACACTCGCCACTGTTGTGTCATAAAAAATCTAATGATCAATTTTGATGTTTAAAGAGTTTAGATCGATGAGTTGTTTACATCACTCAACACAAGCAGAGTGATGCAAGCAGGCAAATTCAGAAGCACATCTCTGTATAGTGACTGGTCTTATGATTTAAACAGGCAAATGTTCAGCATTCAAACTACAGGTGAAGAATAGTCAAACCAGATGTTTCCCCAGTTATGTCGATATCAGCTAGTCAAGTACACACCTACACAGCATGTTAACAAACCGTGAAAAAAGCCACAAAAAATGAATGATTGCTGGTAACGGTTTCTATACATTAGTATTTACGAAGGGTATGTTGTGACTTACCTTCAAAATTACAGTGGTCCCTCGCTAATAACGCGGTTCACCTTTCACCTCGCTGTTTCACAGATCTTTTTTAGTGCAAGTTTGCACGTTTTTTTACGTCACATTGTGTCCTGCGTCCTGATCACTGCAGACGATCTTCTCCGTGACGTCTCTCCTGTACAGTACAGAATCGCTGCATCGATTGCTAGCAGTGTGACTCTGAAGTGCAGTGCTGTATGTCCACGATGTCCACCAAACATTTTGCACCGTCAAAAAATAAAATTGGCTACTTGATTTCACCTATCGCTGGTTATTTTTAGAACATAACACCCGCGATAAACGAGGGACAGCTGAGAAATATAACATTTGAATCCCTTTTCTCTTTTGCTCTGAGGCGCGGGGAAAAAATATCGACAAGTCGATGAACATCATTTACAGATATATTGGGTAAATGCCCAAGACATCTATAGAAATGTAAATCGCCGCTTGATTCATTCATTTGCTTAACTTGTTTTGGACCGTAAACAGGGCGTGAATAGGACACCGGAAACAAAGCTCCCCACAGGAGTTTCCGCACCGGAAGTAGCATATGCTAATGTGCACATAGTCAATATTAAATACTTAAGTACAGCTAAAGATAATGGGAATGCCATTAGCTTAGCTTTTAGCTTGTTAGCATTAGCATTAGTTTTTAGACATTAATCAAAGTATGAGACAAACTCAAATTTTGATCCAATGATGGGGTAAGAAGAAAAGTTAGATATTATCAAAAGTACCAAATTTGCCATGTTTTGACTGAGAGACTCTATACCTAAATGTTTATTTTAGAGTTTCCTGGTAAAGATAAGCAATGGTGACATCCATTTAATTTTAAAATTATAGGCAAAATGTTCACCTAAAAGGTTAATTATTCCAGAAACAGATTAATTATACAACAACACAGCCTAAAAATGTCTAAAATCCTTAAAATGAACAAGAACAATGGTCTTACTGAGACAGCCACATGTGGACACAGAGGTAATTCAAGACACTAGCAGCCAAAGTGTGCACCTGTGTTGCTGCTAGTCCACAGAGAAACCAGATTTTAGTTTTAAATTCACTTTTACACAGAAGGAATTATAGAGTTAATATAAATCATGAAATGGCTTTACAAGTTACACTGTGTGTCTTTGTGTTTAGGTGGTCCAGCTCCTGCTCAGCAGTAACATGTGTGCAGCCATGCTGGAACCAAAACCCTCCGACCCCAACGGAGTGTCACCTTTGCATCTGGCTGCCAAGAACGGACACATCGAAGTGATACGGTCCAAATAACTACTCCTTTCTGTCTGCTCTGTGTTTGTTATACCTCCTTCATTAGACACTTAGTCATTCTGTCTCTCCACCGACTGATCTAATTTAACGTTAAAGGATAATGCCAGTTCATTTCAACCTGGCATATTTCCCATTAACAAGGCTAACGTGTTTCTATGGGTCATGCAGGGTTTCCACTATCCACCTTGATTGTAGAGATTTGTAGAATTGAGGTGTGAACAACATACATTAGAGAAACTGGGCCAAGTCCTCTGAAGCATCTCAACAACAATGAATTATATTAAACAGTTCTTTCAAGTCTTTATTTCTATTCATTATTTTTTTAACAGGCAAAAACATTACATGCATAGGCCCTGTTCACATCACATAAAACTATATATACAAGTGAAAGATTACAGATATACAGCAAAACACAAGTTTAAAAAAAGAAAATCAGAATCAGAATCAGAATACTTTATTGATCCCTGGGGGAAATTATTTTTTGTTACAGTGCTCCATTATAAACCAACATTAAGACAAGACAGACAATACACTAACTAAGAAAGACATTATTGATCCTAGGTAAGAGAGTGTAAAGGTCTGATGCTATGTGGATTGGGCAGCAGTCTGGAACAGAGATCCGATCCAATTCCTGGTTGCTAAAACTGGTTCTTGGGTAATAGGACTACTGTCAGGCTCACCTACATGTATGACTCCGGTTCTGCAGCCAGTCTCCTGGGAAGGAGTTGGATGTTGTTCCCCTCTGGAGATGCTCTCAGTGAGAGACCCTGCATGTTTGGTGGATGACAGGATATCTGACTGTTGTGTGGACTTATACGTCAAATATTAGGCCCAGGTGCCTTTTAGTCTTTGAGTCTTCATTCTCTTACTGAGAAATTTTAACATTCACTGGGACATAAGTGGGCTTTGCACCAAAATACCCTAGCCCACATGTCAACGGCCAACGTGACTTGGACATCTGACAAAGTCCCAGTACACCCAGGAAAGGACTTTACCAAACACTAGAACTTGGTGAAGGATCGTCAAATCCTACCTATGGCAGAATTTGGACACCATTCAGAAGGAGGCAGAGGACACCGAGTCTGACTTAATCATGCTCTGCACCTACATGGAGCTACAGACGTAAGGTGGCTGCTGCCTGTCATTGGGGCCTTGCGGGAGATTTTCATTCAGACTCATGTCATCTGCAGTATTGGGGACACTGTAGCGCTCTGTTCTGATAAAGAGAGCTGGCTGGTTGGAGCGAGGTCTGGACATCTCTGTCTAGAATGCTGCTCCTGTGACCTGGACATATATAAACAGCAGAAAATACACAGATGGATCAATAGATGGTTCTGGTGAACTGTGTTAGTGACAAGTTGCTGGCTGACCTAATTGTGAGCATTTTTGAACGTTTTCCTCCTCAATTGGCAGTATAGGACAGAACATGGCAACACCATCAGTTTCCTGAGCCCAACGCTATAGCAGGCCAGTGATTTTTTTCTCTCTATGCCTTTTCTTCAATCTTCAGTTTCTTGCCTTCACTACTACACAGTGAGCGTGTGTTTATGGCACAAAAGATTAACACAAATTAGCTTTCTTGCCAAAGTCCACTTCCTCTTTAACCCCCTATAAACAAATCTTTTCCTGCAATTTGTTGAATAACCAACCAAACAAACATTTACAGGGTAAAATTCAACTGCCTATGTTAGATAACCGCGCAAAGGGTTGGCCTGTGCAAAAGGTGCTTTCCTTTTACATTGTGGGTTTTAGTTACACTAGAAACATATTTTCTTTGTTTCCTTCTTCCTGTGGAAGCCTGGCAACAGCTGTCAGTCAAACACAGAGACCCCATTCACTCAAACTGGCAGCTCTTAACACAAACACTATGAAAAATACATCTGAGAAAAAGACTGAAAAACTGGTTAATCCAAATGTCATTTTGGGGAATTTATTTCCACTTTTATTGAGTTGCATGAATGTAGATGCTTTTCTTTCATTTCTTACTTTAGAGCAGTCATAAAAAGTTATCTTGAAATATTTATTATTTTTCGCTGCAGGTTGCTGATTCAGGCTGGAATAGATATCAACAGACAGTCCGAGTCTGGCACAGCACTACATCAGGCTGCCCTCTGTGGGAAGACGGAGGTAGTACGCCTGCTGCTGGATGTAAGTCTAACTATCCGTTTAATGTGTTTACATAAGAAGCTGTTGTTAATGCTGACCTCCCTCCTATGAGCTGTGCAAATTCACACCCCAGCAACTGTCATTCATCTGACTGTGAGGAAACTGTGGGATATGTTATATTGTTATTGTTTATTACATAAAGCAGTAGCAGGCTGACCAGCCTCCTGTCTGTCATCCAATATTCAAACCTGTTGTTCGGTTTTTAACCTTTTTTTTGACCTTCAGATGAACATGGATGTAAATGCCTAACCCTGCCTTTGTAAAGGGCCCACTTTAAGTGTCCCCTCTCGTCCTGCTGCGCTTCACTTTTGATGTTAATGCTGAGGCAGCGCACACAACAAACATCCCTACTGTGGAATGTTCTTTGTGACACACAATTTGATTTTGCAGCTTTAATCATTTTCCTCCTCCGCGTCACTCCAGAGCGGCATCAGTGCAGGAGTGAGAAACACTCTGAGTCAGACTGCCCTGGACATCGTTAACCAGTTCACTACCACGCAGGCCAGCCGGGAGATCAAACAGTTACTGAGAGGTGAGGCCGCGAGTGCACGAGCTCGCACACCAACTCACAAATCCTTGTGTGACACATTTTTTAAACCCTCCCAGCTGGTGGCAACACCAAAAATCTGCTTTTCAAGCCATGCCCACTTTGTGAGTGTTAAAACTATTAGGAACCTGGTTTTTGTTATAAATAACAACATACTGTAAAAAGACATTTTTAAAATGAATTTATTGCTATTGACATTTAAAACAATGGCATAATGTCCATTCTTATTTTGGGATTTTCTTGTATTGATTAGACTGGCGAAATTTATTATGCTAATGATACTACCCACCAATATCACCTTCTCCGTTCTCTTCTGTCTGCACTTTATACTCTTGTGTTGTAGATGCCTCAGCTGCAATGCAGGTGCGAGCACTAAAGGATTACTGCAACAACTATGACCTTACCAGCCTCAACATCAAAGCTGGCGACATCATCACGGTATAGCTTTATAATTAAGGTTCCGCAATAAAAATATGTTTCAGCCTTTGCTGCATGTTTGCCAGTCATAATAACCTGTGTCGGTAATATCAATCTGTCTACACAGTTTAATAGTTGGGTGTTACAGTGTAAGCATCACTGAGCTGAAAAGAGGTTTTGCCACACAAACTATTATTAAAAACAAATTATTATTTTTGCCAGAGCTATGGCGCTTCTTCGCTTCACTCATATAAGAAAACACAGACATCTATGTCAATTTATTATGTTATTTCTTTATTCTTCTATATTCATTGATCTTTTTTGCAAGCTACCTTGTATATATGAAAAAGTAATCACTTACAGGCGCTGTTAGCGAACACCTATTTACAGATGTGCATGAAAATACATAACGTAAAGCAGATGCAATGTTGGCTTTTGTTTTGAGGTCATCTACTATATATAATATCTATAATTTAAAAGGATTTGAATTTTATAAAAATAATTCACAAAAACTATATACATGTTAAGGCAGTTTATATAGTATGTTTTGTGTTTTTAACCAGTTTTGTAGCCAACTGGCTAAAAATGGCAACGCTAAAGCCAGCCTGCTAATGTAAAAACAGTTGTGTAATGTATTATGATTGAAGAATTCAGGGTTTAGTAAGGTGGACACTTATTCCACTTTATCAAGGTGGACACTTGATAAAACACAGTTTATCTATGATATACATGGAAAATTTTAAATTATATTTCGCAAAAATGCCTCAAACTACTAACTATGCTAATGCTAGCTAATGATAGCTAAATGACTAAATAGCATGGTGTGTTATTTCCCACTCATTTTTTTAACTACTGCCTTTTTTTAAATGGAAATTTAAACAGACATTTTCTGCTCATTTCAGCTGCTAAGTCTGAAAAAGTAAAAGCAAAACAATGGTAGAAGTATTTTTATAAAGAATTAACAGCTAAATTTGTTACACTGCCATCTGAGCAGTAGCCACTATTGCCATAGTTTGAAGTTAGCTGGTAGTGTGAGGTTCAGAGCTAAAGATTTAAACTTGATATAGGTATGGTTTTAGTTTGGCTTTGCAGTCTTTGTTATGGAAATGAAAAGTGGCTGTAATCTTTGTACGTGCACAGGTTTTAGAGCAGCACTCTGATGGCCGATGGAAAGGCTGTATTCATGACAACCGGACAGGAAATGACCGTGTGGGCTACTTCCCCTCCAACATGGTGGAAGTCATCAAGAGGGCAGGTGACCACCCGCATCACAGCTGTGTGTGTGCATGGGTGGGTGGGTGGATGTGCGTGTGAGCTTAGCAGCTGTTTCGCAGCTATAGCTGGTCATTAGTTGTAGCTAGCTGTGGCATCATCGGCCTGTTTGGGGCATACCATCTGTTTTCCCCACCCTGCCAGTCTCATTGATTGCATCAATCAAACATAGTCCTCTATCCGCAGTCGGCCCTGAATCACCCCTCTATATTTCTGCTCCTTCTGTCACCCTCCCTAATTAATAAACAAGTCCGACCCTGCTAGATTGTAATGTTTTTGTTCATATTGTTTGTTTGCCTTATTGCTGTAGTGATATTATATTTTGTTTTATAATGATATATTCCCTGTGGATATATGGATGTATTCTTTTCTCATGTTTTAAGTTTAATCAACTATTATTTTGTGCATTTTCTGATTTTTTCTGATTAGACTTTTGTTTTGTTTCAAGTTGACTGATCAGTTGTTGTTGTGTTGTTGTTGTTGTTGTTTTGCCCCCCCCCTCCTCCTGGATTGTTGCCAGGTCACTCCCCCTCCCAGCAGTGCCACACCCTCCTCCTCCGCAGGCCCAACCCTTGCCCCATTGCCTCGGTCAACGGAAACTCATACCCCCCCTCCAAAGTCCTTCCCCTGCATCTGCCTCCCCCTCCTCCCCTTAACCCCAACACACAGTCCCTTCCTCGGTTCTCCTCATTTGGGTACGTTCCTCTCCCTATCTCTCCTCCTTCTCTGTGTACTCCTCCTCTGTCCACTGCTCCTCCTCCTCCTCCTCTCTCCACTTCTCAGGAGCAGCAAAGTCAGACAGGTACATACTGTAGTGTCACTTTAAGTCACAGATAAGAATCCTTTCTCTGCTTTTTGTCAAGAACACATAAAAAGCCTGCTGTCTATCTGCTTGTGGCAACGCTTCATCAAAGAATCAGTTCAGCCAAATAAAAAAATACTCAAAAAGGCCTAAAAAAACTGAAGCAGTCCTGTGAAAAACTAAGTACACCTCATGACTCACTTGCGTGCAGAACCATGTTTAGCAGCGATAACTTTAATAATTGTTTTTTGTGTCACTCTAGCGGCCTACCATACCAACGGTACAGCACCATGTTTTTCTCCAAACATGGTGCTGTGCATTTTGACAAACATCTCCACCTTGATCTCGCCTTTTCAGAGGACATTTTTCCAGAAGTGTTCTGGTTTGTTCATATGAACCACACTGAAAATACTTAGCAATTTGTGCATTTATGACTGGCTGTAATACTGGTAGCTTAGCTGTAGCATTTGTAGCTGAGGGCTTCAGCTTCCCGGTAATAAGGAAATGACGTCATTTACGTAGATTACTGATTGGCAGCGCTAACTTGAAATTTCGAGTTACTTTTCTCAAAATTTTGAGTTAATAAGTCAAAATTTAGAGAAAGATAACTCGACATTTCAAGTTATAGATACTTTCTTTTTTTAGTATCAAAAACGGGCTTTCGGAGCTGTGCTCGCTTCAGAAAGTAGAGACAAGCTTTCCAAAGAAGCCTTGTTCAGACTTTGTTTAACTGTACTGTGATGAACTTTATATTTAACATGCTAACTGAGGCCTGTAGAGTCTGAGCTGTTGCATTGCACAGTCTGACCTTGGGATGAATTTGCTGGGCACACCCAAGTGCTCCAGACCAGCAAACTGCTCTTTTGTGTTTGTGTGTTATTGATTTCATGCGAATGGACTGATTCTATATAGCCCTTTCTATCTGCTGGAGTACTCAAAGCACTCTATACAACATGCCACATTCATTCTAAGCTTTTTAGTGCTTCCTAATGAACATTCATACTCCGACGGATGCATCAGAGAGCTACTTGGGGTTAGTATCTTGGTTAGTACTTGGCATGCAAACTGGAGGAGCCAGGGATCGAATCACTAACATTCCCATCACCTGCTCTACCTCCTGAGCTACAATCACCTGTGGAAGCAGTAATGGTGTACTTAGTTTTAAACAAGACTGCATATTGTCCCTTGAAGACTTTCTTTTTTACATAGCCATATGTGCTTGAGGCAGTTCTTCATTAAAGGATCAGTTCAATCAAATAATTATTTACAAAAAAAGGCTAACAAAATTAGTAATTCGTCCACATATACATTTATCTAGCCCGTGTGGGTCCTAACTGACTCAAACCTTTGTTTTGTTTCTTTAAATGTGGGTTTTTATGACGACTAAGGCCATGAAAGTAATGCCTCCTTTGTACATTTCTTATAATTCCAGTGAAATGACCCTTTCATTTATCTTACTCGACATGCTGTGTTTGTTATAAATAACTTGAGAGGCCGTATTCGGCATTTTTAATCAGCATTACAGTGATTAAGTAGAATCACCACACGTCACTGGATGTGTCATTCACAACAGCTTCATGGTGTTTTGACCAAAAGGGTCTGTGGGTTTCTACAAGCCTCAGGACTCCCACTAGTAGTAGCATGTTTATGCACGTGAGCTGAGTGAGTGTATCTCTGCGTGTGAGTCTGTGCCTTTTACAGTGTTTAATCACAAGCTCAACACATTTACTGTATGTAGGGAACAGCAGTACACATTATTATCGCTCAGATATTGTTTCTGTTTCTGCATTTTTGCTAATACAAAGTTTTAAATTTAAAATACTAAGACCAAAGGAGTAACAGATGTGGGGTTCTGTGTGTGTCTCTGTGTGTGTGAGACAGGTTCACGAGCTGCAGAGCTGAGTCCTCAGGGCTCTCCCACTTTGGGACAGCAGAGCAGCACCAGTGAGGACATCTGGGTGCTGCGCAAACCGCTGGCAGGTAAACTGAAAGCGTGCTTTTGTGGGGGAAAAAAGGAAATGATGTGTGTCAGACACGTTGTGTGTGTGTGTAATGCTGCGTTCTACAACGTGTGTTTATGTGTGGAGGTGGCGAGCGCAGCGGCAGCGTCGGCAGCCTCGGCAGTGTTCGGTCATCGAGCAGCTTGCAGGGCTCTGGAAACACGCATGTTTTGACCACTCCTGCACCCAGTCCCCACCCCGCACCCACGCCAGGGGTCAACACCCACGGCCTTAATGCTCCCGGCCTGCATGCACAAGCAGAAGGAGTCAAGGTAAAAGACTCCTTGCATTCAGTTGTGTTTGCACACATTTCATGACGTTGCTGCTGTTTCCTTACAAAACAACACACACACACCGTTTCTGGGAAACGGCAAAACATTTCTAGGAAACAAACACAACTGTAGTTCATGTGATAACCACAGTTCTGTTTCCTGCTCAGTTTATTCTTCCGTTGGTTGTTTTTTCCTAGCAGCACACAAGGTGCATTGTGTTTGTTTGGATACAGTGTAGCAGCTGAATTCAAGTTAAGCAACTCAACTTTGTCTTATTTATCGTGTTTTTGCACCTCACCTCCACAGTGAGCTGTTGTCATAGGTGTACTGCTGAAACACCTCCACAGTTTGTTTGTTTTCTGCAAGTGAGGAAGTAGAATATTTGTAGTTTGCATAATGTGATTCTATTAAATAGATCTTCTTAAGCATCCGAACATCCAGTCATCACTAATGCATATGGCATGTAGCCATAACAAATACAATTAACTGCTATATTTAAGGTCCGCTGACTGAGTCACAATACAAACTGAACTAATATTCAAGAAAATATTCCACCTTAAAAGGTGGCTGATAAGCGTGTTAAGATCAAAGGCGGCAAAAACTTCCTTTCATTTTGCTGATGAAACACCTGTGATGACCAAAACAATTGAAAACACAATTTTTGGTCTTTGTGAACCAGAGTTATTATAGTTTTGTGTTTTCAGTTAGTTTTTATTTCTATTTCATTATGACTTTTTGTTTTTTTATTCGATTTTAGTTTCAGTTATTTTCCAGAGTAGATTTTCTTTGACGTGGACACGGAGGTTTGTGAATGCGATAACTCGAGAACGAAGCAACGTAGGAGCTTCAAATTGATACCATAGGAGTATCTACTAAAAATCTTAGACATGTTTGATCTCAGTGACTTTGACCTCAAGTCAAGTTTTCCGAAAATCTTCTAAATGTGATAGCGTATAAGTACAGCAAGGACTTAACGAGTATGAATTGTTTGGACGGGGTTGCCTGTTCTCTCTAAGAAGAACATGGCAGCACAGGTTAGGATTGCAAAGTTCATCATCTGAACAAAGCACAAGACTTTTGGAACAATGCATTTTGGACAGATGAGACTAAAAGTGACCAAACACAGCAAATCAGCACAAACACCTCGTACCAACTGGCAGCACGGTGGTGGACAGGGAATGATTTGGGCTTCGCTTGCAGCCACAGGTTCTGGGAACCTAATAGCCACTAAGTAATCACGAACTCCTCTTTATACCAAAGTCTTCTAGAATCAAGACCATCTGTCTGACAGCTAATGCTGGGCTGATAGTGGGTCATTCAACGGGACAGTGATCCCAGGCACACAGGATACCTTAAAAAGAAAAAACACAAGGTGCAGTGGTCCAGTCAAAGTCTAGACTTCAGCCTCATTGAAATGCTGAGGTGGGACCTTAAGAGAGCTTTGCATAAATAAATGCTCACAAACCTCAAAGAAATGAAGCAACGCTATAAGAAGAGTGGGACATAATTCCTCCACAATGAAACGAGGGAGCGATAAAGTCCCACGGAAAGCGATTACTTCAAATTAATGCTGCTAAATGTGGTTGTGCAAGCCACTGAGTCATTGGGTGTTCTTGTTTTTCTACGGGACTGTATGACATTCACCCTTTGACAGCTCATTATTAATTCATGTGTTATTTTACCACACTGGAGAGTAAGTGAAGGGGAGAGAGAGAAAGGGACAAATCCAGGGAGCATGATGTGAGGGACAGGCAGATGGAGACGAAGCTGCAGGCACAGATGAACTATTAACATAGCGTCAGTCTAATATTTGATTGTAAATGCTAAATGCACTGGTTCTTGCCTCATTCACTCATTAGTACAAGATTTTTTTAAGAAAGTGCTTTCTATCTAACACCCACATTCATACTGATGAACACATCAGAGAACGTGACACCAACTACAGCTTATCAGGATGCTCAGTTATAGAGTGCTACTTGTGTGTCAGCCTGCCACTATAGTAGCAGCTTTAGCAAGCAGCACTGCACCACTATTTTTTAACTGCACAGTTAAAGGTAACCGGCCATGATTTTGAGTCTGATTTCAAGCTAGTTTCCCTTAAAGCTGCACTTAAATGTGTCGCCCACTGTATTAAATTACATCAACCGCATGTGGACAAGATCTAGGAAACTAATTCTTAGCATAAACATCTGTTGTGCTTTTCCTTTCTGTACATCCTGCTGTTCAGCACATACTAAATGATATTTTAACAGTTGGTATAAAATGTGTATTTCCTGTTTTTTTAGTGTCTTGCATTTAAGAAATGTCTTGCTGGTATTTCTGCTGTACCAGAAAATTGTAGGACATACAGGAGGCAGAGTGCTGAGTACTGAGCTGAGTCACCGACCACCTCTGGGATTTGAACGATTATGCTTGAGTAAATGTTTCTCAATGTGAGCGTGTGTGTGTACATATGAGCATATCTGTGTGTGTTTTTGTGTTTCAGCTCCTGGCCACTGTGCTGTCTCAGTCGGTAAAAGCCAAGGAGCATCTCTTGGAGCAGTCGCAGTCTGTGGAGCAGTCAGCAAGTAAGCACACACACTCATACAAACACAGCGTAGCGCGATATCGCCGTCTGTATTTGAAGTGTTCATTCGTGTCAGCTTTAATTTAAGTGTGCTGCTGCAGTGATTTAAGCACAGATGACAAAGTTTGTCTCTGCCTGCTTGAAAGAAAACGCGTGCGATCAGTTAATTTGGAAAAAAAACCTGCTTTTGTCTGTAAGTGATGACAATTAAAAATGATCAAGGCAGTGTTCACAAGTACAACAAGCGCCTCGGAGCTTGTTTTGATTGCTTATGTGAATCACTTTTTATTCTTCAGCCTGGCCCTCTAAAGACCACATGTCTGTTCATATCAGACACAAGCAGCATTTCCAGTCTCGGTCCTTTTAGAAGAGTATTTCAAGTTATTCTTCATTTCTAAAAAGCTGCTGTAAGCAGCCGGGGACATGGCTTCTTGGGATGTCATGGATTCTTTCTTGTTCTCCTGAGTCAGAGCTCTAGCTGTAGCCGCAGAGGTTTGCTTGCAATAAGCAGAATAAAAAAACTGCTCAAAGAAATTCAACAGATTACGTTAAACTACCAGCTTAAAACTATTAATTTACATATCTAACGTTCCTGTGAGCGTGAAATACATTTATTTTGCAGAGGAAACACTTAGTTTGTCAGTTTTGATCGATTAGTATTGCAAGTGTGAAGCTAAAATGTTACGCTCTTTGTGTCTCATAGTTATTTTGCGATACCGACACCGATACTGATGCTGATATTTGGTGATTTAAAAATGAAATGTCTTCTTTTCTTTTAGACACACAATCACAAACAGACGTCCCTGACATTTGTTATGTTTATTTGTTTACACATTCTCGCTCCGCTTGGATCAGCTGCAGAGCGCCCTCTGGTGGACAAACTATACCTTTCGCTTATCGCTTCTTTTTTCATTTTAGTTTCTCAGCCGTGATTACTGCTGGTTAATGCCAGTAAATGGCCAGTATCGATCAATAATATTGATCTTGTGTTTGAGTAAGTAGTTTTGGCTACCCAGTGATCCCTGATATCATCTCTCTGATAAAAACTAGCTGCGATACAGCACTAAAAACTGAACCATAGACAGATGTTGATGTTGTCATGCAGATTAGAGATCTCATCAGACCATCTCTTACAAAGTGAGTAATACAGATTTTAAAGAAGGAATTAAATTCACTTGGCCTTGGGCGTTTTTTAATCAGAAACGTCTATCTTTTTATTGGAGCCTCATATTTTTACATAAAAGAATCAACATGAATAAAAAATTAGTTCTGCTAACTCCATGAAGCATGAAATAGTTGCCAGAAAGGTGAAATTTGGGGGATTTTTTGCACATATGAAATTCGATTGGTATGCTTTTCACTTCTGCTACATCAGTATTTTTGTGGACTTCATTCCTCACAGTAGCACTGCATGTGTCGGATTCAATGCATTCAAATAACACTGATGATGTAGCGGTCTTGTATGAAAGAAGATGGACTTACAGGCGTTACAGGGTTGATATATTTGGGAAGTTTTAACTTCAGACACGTTAATTTTACAGTCAAAACTTTAATGGTTGTTTTGGATTTGAACCAGCTTACAAACCTTATTTGTTACAAGCTGTTTGCAGGTCTGCATTACAGCAGGTGAGTGTTCACTTGGGGCTACAAAGACTAGCGTAGCATTGAAGCAAATGTTCTGTATTAATGTGCACGTACAGTTCATGGTGTAGACGCTTTCACAGTGTCTCAAGACTCCCACTTAAATTTGGGCACTTTGTAGCTGTAGCTGTTTTACTAATCTCACTTTAAAAGAAGCCCATAAATTAGCATGTTTAATCCGCTGTCATTCTACTGGTTTAAGTGTTATGTGGGAAGTGTAGTGCTAAAACAGCGCTGCCGAGCCAGCCAAGTATGAAAGCTGTTAAGAAGGGCTCCATAGGCAGTGGGAATCTGGCATGGTTTCCTTTCTCCTGCGCTTCTCCCACATAAGAATCCTTTAGATCACCACATAATATCATTTCTTGGCTTTGCAGCGTTTTGAAAAGCAAACAATTATGAGATAAGTTACTGTTTCTGATCTTTTTTCGGTTTCTTTGAAGTACAGTTAATTTCCTAGAACAGCTGTTTAGTGATGGTAGATTTCAAAGGACCACGATTTCACATGAAGCCGTTAATTTCTTAAACAACTCAATAGAAATAATAAATAGGCGGGTGTTTTGTAAACAGCTAGCTTTAAGGTGTAATTAACAGAGAAATGAAAATTGTTGAGAGTAATGTGATTTATTCTTTGTCCTTTCTCTTTGCCTTTCTTTATCACTTAAACCTTAAGGCTCTTCCAGCAGCACGGTTCACGAGCAGCGCTCGTTTGAACGGAAGGCCGAAGAGGATGATGGGAAAGTGAGTTGTATCTTCTTTTTTTTTTTCTTTTTTTTCCCGGTGGATTGATTCATTCTGGTGCTTCCATTTTTCCGTTTGCTTCTGGTTCTTCTCAAGTAGCAGAAAGAACGTCTGCAATGGTGGGGTTTCAGTGGGAAACACGGTGGTTGTGTTGCACCTGAAAAGATGGCACGCTGAGGCTGGGCATGCGAGTGTGTCACCATGGAGACAGGCAGAGTGACAGACACATCGAGGAGTCAGTTGCTGTCTTGCCTTCTGTCCCTCTCCCCTTTCCCTCTCCCTTTTCCCTCCCTCCCCTGCCCTCACACCGCACTGAGACACCCACATGCTGCTGGCAGTGCTGCGTGTTCTGTGGAGCTCAGGGCTGATCTGCGTGCTGCGTCCTAGCGTTTCCTCACTCACTGACCTCACGCAGCGCTCTATAACATGTACAGCGCTGAAAATATAACACATATTTACCAGTGATTTAAAGAAGATTATTTTGTTAGACCCCTAATGGTTTATTTAACCCCAAATCCCCTGGAAGGGTGTAGTGTCACAACATCAGGTGCTTAGAGTTTTGAGATCTCTAGCACGAAGACTTCCGTCATCGCTAAATACAAGGAAGGGGAATGAAGATATATTCATGTTGTGAACAGTTTGCCCAGCTCTAATTAACCAGCAGCAGAGCACGTAGTAATCCTTGTGGGGCTTTCTTTTTAGGGCCAGTCGATCTGTTTTGTTGTGTTTGTGAGTTTTTTTTAAATGCCCGAGGGCTAGAATCAGCAGGCAAAGACTCCAATCTGGCACACTGGAAAATGGAAATAGGTTATGAAAAGATTTATGTTATATAAACATATTATTGCCTTGAAACCAGTAATGTTGTATATAGTTATTCTGAAACTGAGGGCCCATTATTATAACTGGCTCATTGGTCTAGGGGTATGATTCTCGCTTCGGGTGCGAGAGGTCCCGGGTTCAACTCCCGGATGAGCCCTCATTTAATCCACCCACAAACCAGGTACTGGTACCTAAGTCCAGATCAACAGGGAGGGCTATGTGAAATATTTGCAAGGTTAAACATTAAATTTTCATACTAGATGCAGGTCTGGTTTAACGATGGTCACTGAAGATGAAAAAAATGAAGGAAATCTCATAAAGATGCTTTTGGCAAAAGGCTAGAAGGGTGAGTAAAATTGAAGGCTTACAGGGAAGTAGTGAGACCCGCTGTGACGTATAATGTGGATAACAAAAAGACAGGTGCCAGACTTCAAGGTTTTTGACCAGAATGGAGGGGGCCAGCTCAGGTTGATCATCTTGGAGCCAAAGATAGAGAGACAAGGCTGAGATAGTGGGTATATTGGACAAAGGATGTCGAAGATGGAGCTGCCAGGCAGGAGGAAAGGAGAAGGAACACAGAGTAAGTTCATGGATGAGGTGAAGAAGGACATGAGGAGGGTTAGGGTGACACAGAATGCTAAGGACAGGGTGAGATGATTCAGTGTGGCGACCCCTAAAGGGAACCACATATTTGTATGAGTATAATTTGCTTACTGAAGATATGCTTTTATGTATTTCTATTTGTTAATTGACCTGCCCGGGGACAGTGTTTTGCCCTGTAGTGCTCTGCAACAGTCATGTGACTGAAAAGTATGAATTGAGATGATGGTGGGATGTAGCTCAGTGGCAGAGATCTCAAAACGTAAGAGGCTAATTAACACTAGGAGCAAGCAGGCATCTTATATTTGCACTTACTTTGTAATCTGTTATCCAGAATGTGTCTTACTCTTTGTACAAACCCTAGAGGATAACCAAGAGCACTGTGTGGGAGTGAAACATTATTTGGAAAAACTATTATTATTATTATTATTCCTGACAGTCTTGAAGTCATTTCAGGCAGAGTTTGAATAATTGGAGGGATTATTCTTCTTGTGTTTTATTCCCTTTTTAGTTAGAACGGCTCCCCTTCATGTGTTCCAGAGTAGGTTCAGTTTCCTTGCTGGCTAGGGCTCCGTTTGGGAATTTCCTTAGATGTTTCTGTGCTGTCTTCTAGAACAGTCCTCTCTCCTGTGTTGTAGAGCGGGCTCTAGAAGAGGCCTGTGGACTCTTCTAGAAGCAGGCAGTAGCGCTCTGTGTTCTCTGTTCTAGAAGCAGGCAGTAGCGCTCTGTGTTCTCTGTTCTAGAAGCAGGCAGTAGTGGCGTGGCTGGGTGAGTTTCAGCTGCAGTTCTACACCACCCACTTCCTCACCGCGGGATATGATCTAGACACCATTAGCCGCATGACCCCTGAGGTAAGGTCATGACCCCTGACCCCCTCACGTCCCGCCCCTTGTCTGTCAAGGCTCCGCCCAGCACAGCTATCAAAAATCAGCTCCCCACTGACCTGGATGATGTCATCATGACCCTCCTGTCTCTGTCACCTGACCCCCCGGTGTGAGTCCTGAGCCTCAACCAGTCACTTCTCATGCTCCGTCTGCTTCATTTACATACCTGTGTTCACACATGGCCGCGTGTTCCAGTCTGTGCTGTAAACACTACTCTGTGTTTGTCCTTGAATGTGGTTTTTAATGTGATTGTGTGTGTGTATGTGTGCGCTGAAGCAAACACAGTGCTATGATGTAAACGTCCCCAAAGGACAGGCGACACTCATCAGAGATTATCCAAAGCCAAAATATTCCCGAAGGCATATCACGTGTGCAAATGTCCGAGTTGCCTGTAAAAACTGCTCACATTTGAATAGAAATGAAAATAAAAACACCTCCAGTAGAGGTGGTGAGTTCATGATGTGACTGAGTGTGCTTTGCGTTGAAGGATCTGACGGCAATTGGGGTCATGAAGCCCGGACATCGAAAGAAGTTAATATCAGAGATCAGCAAGCTGCCCTCCACAGACTGGCTGCCCGACCACAAGCCTGTAAGGATGTTAGCTGCTGCATACAATCTAGAATAAGGAGGTCGGACGAACACAAGAGCACAGACGCATCCAGCTCACGCAGCATCATAACTGTGCCTGTGTCTGTCTGTCTTTGTGTTTAATCAAGGCTAATCTGGCAGACTGGCTGTCTCACCTGGGCCTTAGTCAGTACTACCAGGTACTCGTGCAGAATGGTTATGAGAACATTGACTTTGTCTCGGACATCAGCCTTGAAGATCTGCGAGAGATTGGCATCACTAAGCTCGGTAAGATAAAACGTCATTATTAAGATTATAGGCAATATATTATAACACAAGTTCTATAGAAAAGTGCGACCCTTCATTAGGAAGCCGGGTTCCTGTTAGCCGCTCTTAGTGTCTTTGTTCTGTGTTTGTTGTTTAGAAATTGCGTAGATATGAACAGACAGATGGATCAATTGCTTTAAATTGGCTAAAATGTGTCGAAGCGCATTTCAAGCTGTTCTCTATAATCACGTGTAACCATTTGTGTGTGAGAGATACAAGAATTTAATGTGAACAAAGGTATAAACGCATCACAGAGGGAACGTTGAGATTCAAATGAACCAATAAAGCGATAACAGACGATTATGCGCCCCATCATCTTCAGCCTGTTAAGTGTCTATTGTTTGCACCTGGTGAAGACGCTCTGTGTGACTCATTGTAACCAGCTGTCAAAACAAATGTAAAAATCGTCTCGGCACTGCTCTCGCTGCCAATCTGTAAATCGTATCTACCTCCTTTAAAAAATGTGACAGTCCCAAGAAGTAGCTCCACAAAATTTGTGTTTTTAGTGTGAAAAATGTGGTCAGTGAAGAAAGATAAAAACACAGGTTGCTTCTGCTTGTCTCCAAAAATCCTTTATCAAATTATAATGGAAGTCTATTGAACAGTTAAATGCCACTCCTCTCACTCGAATGCCTACAGATCAAAAAGTCTATATCTGCTGGCTTTCAGGAAGACACTGTTGGAAAGAAGATGGATTTTCCTGTTTGAGCGCGCAGGCAGGTTGAAGAGAAATCCTACCAGATAGAATTTTTGTGCATCTTCCACTCTGTCGGTTAATTAGTCCAGTCTAGTACAGATTTTTGCCAGTTTTCTTGCTGTAATCTATAGCTTTCAGCATATACAAGCAAAAAAACCAACTTTTCTACAATGTAAAATATTATTTTAATAATAAAACCTCTGAGCTCTGTGTGAGGTTGATTTAAATGTCTGAGCAAGTTGGATGTTACAAGTGTTTTTGTGGTTTAGTTTGTCAAAAACCGTGAAGAGCTTCCGCACTAACGCCATGTTTGCGTGTGGCTGCCAGCGTGCACATGAGCCAGTCATTTTAATGTTTAGACGTTTCAAACGGTGCAGGGCAGGATATGAACCAGAATTATGCTACTGGAAGAATTTGGACATAACATAGAGTGGGAGTGCTGCTTAGCAACGGTCCCACCAATAACACAATAACTTTTGCAAGCCAAGCGATTAATTCATTTATGAAATTCCAATGCTGCAAGGACAATATGTATAATGCTTACCATGTATTAAAGAACAGTATCCTGAAATGCAGCGAATTCAAATTGCTGGATTGGCGGACAGAGGCGGTTTCTTGCAAGTTAAGTAGATTTTTTTTAAGGCGCAAAAGTATGACATCACAACAATGTCATTGGTCACTTGCAATGTTGAACCTGGAACAACATTTAAGATAAGATAAGATAAGATAGAACTTTATTAATCCCTCGGGTGGGTTCCTCTGGGAAATTCGACTTCCAAAAAAAGCACAGCAACGACCGAAGTTACAGTTACAGAATTGTTATATATATATATATATATACACACACACACACACATATATATATAAATACAGCGACAAATATAAATAAAATATACAAAGGGGATAAATAGAATAAATAGGAATAAAAAATAAAAATACAAGTGAATTGCACATTTCAAGTATTGAGTCTATTGCACTGTTGACTATTTACAAAAAGTATTGCACAAGGTATTGTACAGTGAGGTGAAGAGGCACTACAGCTTAGTTGTTCCCCCCTCCTTTGTCCTCCTGTTTCCCCTCCCTCTCCCCTCCAGAGAGGAGTTAAACAGTTTGATGGTGTGTGGGACAAAGGAGTTTTTAAGTCTGTTAGTTCTTGTCTTTGGGAGAAGCAACCTGTCACTGAACAGACTCTTCTGGTTGTTTATGGCCGTGTGCAGAGGATGCCCAGCATTGTTCATAATGTCCATGATGATGATGATGATGTGGGAACAACACAAGGATATCAGATCCTACTTGGATAATACTGTTAAAAAACAAAACAAACCTATACAGAGATGTAATTATTATTCAACTTTTTGGAATTGTTCCAAAACCTTTGGGTTAGTTTTAATCTGCATGACTAGCGCAGAATGAGGTTGCCATTAAAGATTTGCAGTTTTCAAGAAAATGTAAATTTGTATTTCATGGTGGCTTTTATGCAGAAATGCCACTCTCTCCTAGCTTTGCAGTGTAAATATAGCTTATTCTCTTCTCACAATCCTCTGTTTTGCCCCGCACTCCTGCCCCCCCCTCAGGTCATCAGAAGAAGATAATGTTGGGAGTGAAGCGGCTGAAGGAGCTTCAGAGAGGAGAAAGTGGCTCCGAGCCTCCTCAGAGCCCCTCTACACCTCCATCCAGCCCAGGCGGCAGCACTACATCAGAGCTGCGGAAAGAGGCGAGGAAGCAGAGGGACGGGGTGCCCAGCCCTCGGGCCAAACCTCGCCCAGGTCTCGCACACACACAGACCCCTCCCCACACACCGACTCAAACCCCACCGCAAACGCCCCCGCACACTCGGACCCAGCAGGCTTCCCCCAGGGCTCGGCCGCGGCCATCCACCCAGCAGTCGACAGCAGACTCGGCAGTACCTCTGCTGAGGCTGCCCAACGTGGAGGAAGAGCGACGGAGAACTCACAGTCTAATTGGCTCGGAATCAGACTCTAGATATGCCACCGTGTGCCGCAGCAGCTCTTCACATACCGCTGCCGCTAATGATGTCACTGTTAACCGCAGCCAATCATCTGTTACCCTTCGCCCGCGTAGGAAAGGTCGGCCCCCAACACCTCCTAAACGGTCCTGTTCTTCCATTACCGGGGGTGACGGGGAGGGCGAGGGGCAGGTGGAGGGACTGCTCGGGCTGCCAACCTATCGAGAGCGGCGAGCTAGTGACTGCGGCAGCCTGGGAGCTGCTTTAAGGGCTCAGGAGTCAGCAGGCTTGGAGAGGTCAGACGGAGCTTCTGGGAGTGTTCGCAGCCTCGCGGCCATGCTGGAAACATCCATCGTGAGTGGAACCAAAACGCTGCCGAAGAATCTGGGAAGCAGCACGAACTACCTGCAGGTGGGTGACAGTGACTGTGAGAGTCAAATGTATGAGTTTTTTGGGCTACATGTCTAACAGTGATGTGATCTACAGGTGAGTCCGCCGCTTCTTCGTCGCCAGGCAGGCGCAGGAGGTCTCGGATCTGAAGAAGATGATGTTTTAAATCGCCGCAGGACCATCAGTGGACCCGAAGGCCTCCCTGGAGATCAGTCTGACCAATTACCTCAGCAACCGGTCCCGCGACGCCCCGAGCCTCGGCCCCGCTCCACCGTGCTCACCTCAGCATCAGAGATCACAGACGGCACAGCGACGCTCCGGAGGAAGCCGCGTCCTGTGGCCGCGGACTCTGAAGCTCCTGCATCTGTGTCTACCACGGTTGTTACCACGACTACTGGCTCTGACACCATACGCAGGAGGCCACGCACGACTGAGCACACGGAGCATCTCATTCAAAGCAATAACCAATCAGATTCTCCTATCAGTCAAATAGATAGCTGCCGTAAAATTGAAAGCGAGCCGCAGCAGAACGGCGGCGTGATCCTGAGGCGGAGGCCGGTGTCTGAGATCTCCGAGAGGACGGAGACCAACAAGGAGAGCTGTGAGTGGATGGAAGCTAGGAAGTCTCTGAAGCCACCAGTTTCACCCAAACCATCCACTGTCACCCTGAAGAAGCCGCAAGCTGACCCCCCGACTCCGACTCGTAGGGTCCCCATACCCGGGCCTGACACTGCTGAGCTGGCCCAGAGCCCCGGTGAGACACACACACAACACATGGTCACTGAATTTAACTTCTGTGTCAGAAAATCAAAATCCTATACTTAGGGCGTTTAAATATTTATTAATTTCTGCCTTTATTTGGTGGAGAAAGTGGAAACAGAGACAGAAAAGAAGAACACGCAACTCCCCCCATAAAACCTTTGATGTTTTATGATGTTTTATTACAACATGCTGACATCAGCCTGTTATGGCGTCATCTTATGTTGATGACGTACGGTTTCGTATTGAACAAACAAAAAGTGCATTGTATCGCTCCCTCAATGGCCTTTCATATTATATAATACTGGATATGGTTTCGTGAAACCTTTTGACCTTGGGCACTAACAATGAAAGTCAAGGTCAAATCACAAAAACAGTCGCCTCAAGGAGCTTTGTATTATATGTTAAAGACTCTACAATCCAACAGAAAAATCCCAACAATCAGACGACCCCCTATGAGCAAACATTTGGCGAGAGTAGGGAAGAAAAACTCCCATTTCACAGGAAGAACCAAAAAAACGGATGGGACCATTTTTCTTCTCTTCTAAACTCAGACACATACAGCTCACTACCCACATGTTTAATAAAATATAGTTAATATTAATTAACTTGGCTTATAACACACATTGCATAGTTGAGTACAGCAAATATAAAAGGTCCTATTATATTATTTTCCGTGTTACCTTAATTTAAATATCATTAACATCTGTTCATATTCATGACAAACATTGTTTTTAAATTAATGTCATTTAATCCAAAGACATCCTGCTTTATGTGTAGCCTTGTACTCTGCATGAAATCAGTGATTAGTAAAAGAGTTAGAATTCATCACATGCGGTGGCTCCATAAGCGTTTACAGTTGTTATCCCTCGCTGTGTTCAGAAGTGCTCTTTTACACTCCAGTGGTTATTTGAGTTACTGTTGACTTCCTGTCAACTCAGAGCACTCTGGCCATTCTCCTCCCACCTGTGACATCAACAAAGCTTTTTCACCTTGAGAACTGCAGCTGGCTAGATATTTTCCCTTAAACCATAGAGATGGTTGTGTGGGGAAAATCCCAGCAGCTTCTGAAGTCATCAGACCTGCCCGACAAGCACCAACAAACAAACATCCCACATCAAAAGCCACTTAAATCTTCTTTCTTTCTCTTTTCTGCTCAGTTTGAAGTTGAGCAGGTCGTGCTGAGCATTTCAGGACATGATTTGCTGCCACTCGATTAGCTGACGCTTTTTAGTCACACACGGGTCAAAACCTCATTAAGTCATTCAGTATTAAAAACTGAAATGTTTCTGTTGCTCTGTAAATTCAAAACCAGGCAAGTAAACTATGCCAGGAAACAAAGGTGCTCAAAGACTAAAACATTTTTAAAAAATCAATAATCGATAACAGCAGTCTCTTTGTTTTGATTCTTCAGAGAAATAGATATCATCTATGTGAGAAAAATGACGTCGTTCTTTGTGATTCTCTCTGAGCAGAGTCGAAGCGTGTCCCTCCCCCCGTGTCCCCGAAGCCGCGTGGGCCTCCGACAGCACCTAAACCTGGCAAAGCAATAGTAGCTTCAGCAACCATGAGCCCGAGCCCCGCCGCTACCAGCCCGGCTGCAGCCAGCCCCACCCCGGCCCCCAAACCCTCCTCTCCGCTCTCTGCCGCCCCTCTTCCAGCCCCCGACACCCCCTCCGCTCCCTGCCTCTCACCCGGGCTCCCTCTCACTTCCCCTTCTCCAGCCCAGAGTCCGTCCACTCCCTCACCGCACCCCGTCAAACCGCCACGCTCCTCGATCACCGGTCTCTCCATCGACCTGTTGGGCTTGCGGGAAGTGGAGGAGGAAGAGGATAGGAGGCGAGATGAAGAGGAAAGGAGGAGAGAGCGAGAGCACAGGAGGCACAAAGAGCAGGAAGAGGAGAGAAGCAGAGCCGAGGACGGGGCTTTGAAGGAGCTGGAGAGGAAGTCCTCAAAGAGCGACAGTGTGGAGAGTCGAGCAGGGGAAGGAGAGCAGGAGGGAGAGGTTCAGCATCGGCTGGAGGAGACCAGCGCCTCTTTGGCTGCAGCTCTGGAGGCTGTGGAGCATCAGATCAAAGAGGAGGACACACAAAATGAGTGAGTACTAGAAGCAAATCTCATTTTCCCACTGAAAGGAGATTTATATTCATCGGGACTGCATGTTGGCACCAAACCTAATGACAAAGGGATTAGATCATAAATAACTTGACGCGGTGTAGAGCTGCAAATTGAGACAGCTTATTACAGGCTTCAGTGTAATGGAAGTGCTAGTGCTGTACAGAAAGGACTCCCGAGGCTCGTGTTGACATCAAGCTCAAGATTGTGAGAAATATACACACACTCCTGGTTTGAGTATAGACAGTACAAAACATGGATGTAGCCATTGATCTTAAGTGGGCCCAACCAGTGAAACTCCCTTTTCTGCCAGGTTAAAGATATTTAATCCCTGACATATCTTGATACAGGAAAAAGAAGTGAAACTTCAGCAGCTTTTTGCATGATAAATGTGTAAAAAAACAGAAAATCTTCTGGTAAGATGCTCAGATTGTCAAACCTTACATTTGACAGCCCTGATCTATGGGTTTGAAGTTTTGTTTGATCTCCTGTGAAAACCAAAACAGGAAGGGGATATATGTTTTTCCCCATTAGCTATCAGCAGTTATTCCAGTGCAGCTGAAAGGGCAAAGAAGGAGAAGGATATAAAGCAGCACTTTTATTCTAATCCAATGAGTTGCTTTAAAACAGCGATCCAAATTTGTTTTTGTTTAATATCATCAACTCATTCCCCCTCAGTTGATCAACTCAGTGGAGTGGAGGAATTCAAAAATCTGGACCCAGCCAGGGTTTGCTTGTGCGTATGGGTATGTTTGTCGCGCACGCAAACGGACGATGAAATTGCATTTCCTGCGGCTGCTTCACAAACAAAGCCGTGCCGCGTTTTGATCGCAATGATTTAAATGCAAAGCAGCGGCCGTGGTAAACATTCCCTTTGTTTTAAAAACAGCTCTGTGATTCACTGTAAGGAAAGTGAACAGCAAAGCAGTGAGGCTGTCAGGAAGAAGACCAAAAACAGTGCAAGGGGATTACACGCTGCGAGTCCACTCGGGGAGGCGTCGTGAATCCAAGAATTGCCGACTGCACCACTATCAATAATGACAGGACAACAAAGCTAGAAGGTTGCTGTTAGATATAACAGGGCATCGAATAGCTAAGTAGCCAAATGGGTTTTGGAATTCATGGAGACAAACAATTAGAAGGAAAACAAACTTGCTGGGTGGAAAAAAATCAAATATTACCAGCTGAAACTATCCAAATGACTCCTCTGGCATCTTTAGCTGCTTCAACTAGAGGTGGGCGTAGTAGTATCGATCCGACACTGGTATTGGTATTGGATCAATACTATCAGGGTAAGATACTTTGCTTCTATCCTCTAAGTTAAGTATGTAGCTCAGTGAACTGTGTTAAATAAATTATTTTGGGGGAAATGAAAAATATTCCTCAGACATGCACTTTGAAAAATGTCTCAACCTTTTTGTGTTGACTGTCAGGTCTGTTTTATTTATAGCCTATAGCTCATTTAAATCGTTAAATTAGTGATCAGCAAAGTGTGTTCAGAATTTGCAAACTGATGATGACTCACCTCATGAATCATGACACACTACTCTAAGTTAAAAGTATTATGTATAATTGAAAGCATTAGTGTTGATGCTGGTATCGGTAATACCGGCCCTGTATTCACAAGTGAATAAGCACAACACAGAACAAGCTTAAACACATGAACTTTGGACAGTTTTGGGAGAATTAGGTCAGGACTGTCTGACATGCAGCATGCAACAGGAAGTAATCTGCTTCACACACATTCACACCTCTGGATATATCTCCACGTGGTTTTATGTGAGGGTGCATGCAAGAAGCAGCACTGGTAAATGCTGCAGACAGTTTGCACAACCACTTAATCCAACATCGCACGGAATTTATACTCAGGAGCTGGAATGTTAGCTGGTCTAAGTCCTTATATGTGGAAATAAGACCTTAACCCTGTATTTTGAAAGAAATGTGAAAAACTTTTGCTATGATCTATTTCTTTGTTCCCTGACTGCCAAAACTTTATCTTGAACTTAAAATTTGAACAAAAACAAACAAACAAAATATACATATTCTTATTGCCTGGGGTTAGAGGTCATCACCGGTGACAACTTAGGTCACAGAAGGTCATTCAAAGTAGCTAATGTGCGATCAGTGTTAGATATTTGCATCCTCTCAAATCCCTCCACTTTCCATCTCTGATTCTTTGCTGTATGCCTCAGCACTAACCGAACCCTTCTTTTATTCTCGCCCAACTTCCAGCTCTCTCTCCGGAAAAAAAGCAACAGTCTCCATCTTGGACGACATTGGCAGCATGTTTGACGACTTGGCAGACCAACTGGATGCGATGCTGGACTGATCTGCTGCACGCATCTCATTTTCCTACAAGCCCTTTCCCTCGCCTCCCCCCTCATCATGCGTAGGTGTAAGAAAACTCTCCCGAGGCTCAGTGCCGGCGCAGAGAGTGTGTGTTCGAGCGTGCGCCCCCTCATGCGTGCGTGAGCGCTTTCTCATGTAGCCTTGTACAGTACTGACGAGGGGAGTGGGGGGGGTCCTCTTTGTCTGGTGCAGTAGCTCTAGTACGCCTCCTGGTGCAAGGAGGCCGCTCCCACACAACCTCTGACCTCTGCAGCTCAGCATGTCACCGCCGCCGCCTCCGCTGCCACCCGGCCTCAGATGGCTGTGTGAACCATGAGAAGCACAATCATTTTCCTCATCCTTTGATCTCTACAGACTTGGACCGACATGCTGACTCAGTCAGACAGGGAGACAGCAGATAAGCATATTGCTTGCAAAATAAGCACACTATCCATCTGGCAGGGAGATAGCTAGATAGCTAGATACATAGATAGACAAGGTAGATACTGATGAGACGTCCAAGAAGATTTATAAAAGCACACGGGGAGAGAGGCGGGCCGCTTTCTGTGCCCGATTCGCTCCTGCAGCGTCAAAAGGATGCATTTTTCCAGTCAACTCGTAGCCTCTATTTCTCTTCTGTTCCAGTGGAGGATTATGGTTAGCCGGACTTCCTGACTCCCTGTGTGTCGTCTCTGTTCATGTTGTTGTTGTTGTTGCTGCCGTTGCCGTTGTCGTCGTCGTGTGTAGTCCCTGCTGATGCTCACGTCAGTGTCCTCCCTCTCGTACAGTAGTTGTTGTAATGATCAGAAAGATGATATAGATGTGTGTCCATGAGTTTTGAGACACTCGCACGCACACACACATGCACACACTTATTACATCTTGCTAGTCTTCAGCTTTGTTGGCGGTTAACTCCAGCTGCGGAGGTTTGCTTGAAAATTAATCTGCACACACACACACATACACACACACACCACACCCATGAACATATATTATATATATATATAAATATTTACAAGCACACTCATGCGGTATATCCCTTTGTCCTGCTGCAGTGAACAGTGTTTATAAAAGATAAACCTATATTTCAATGCTTTATATAGTACATCCAGTATACATACATAGAGTTTATAGTATACCTGGGTATTTGAGCTGTTATGGCTCCCTCTAGTGTTGGTTAGTGAAACTGCCTCTAATTGGCCCACCTTGAATCTCGTCTCCCCCACTTTTTGTTTTTTTACAATCTCCCTCTGTGTCTGGTTTGTTAACTCTACATCTCTCTGTGCCTTCGTAGTGTTCTTCATATATTCAGTTTTTTGGTTTGTTTGGTTTTTGTTCCATACTTTAACATATTTATTGGGGGTTTTTTGGGTTCCTTACAAGCCCTTTTGTGTCTGTGATGTCTGAATAGCTTCTATATACGACCTCTAAAATTAGTCAGCTTGTCTACCCCATTTAAAACCAGCCCATGTAAGTCCCCCCGTAAGCTGTAATAAGTTGGCTCCGCTCCTCCTTGAATCCCTGGTTTTTAGTGGCCCACTCAGAGCCCCCCCCCCCTCAAACCCCCCCAGTGTTAGCCAGACAGTGGATCAACCACCAGTGTTCATCCCCCAATGAAGAGTCCACTTGTATTTTTATGCTCTTTGAAAACAAAGATGATATATTTGAGAGACAGATGGATCTATGTGAATACTATTAATAATAACAATAACGATAATGGCTGTAGGCATTGAGGTGAGCTTCTGGTCGAGTTCTGGATGTGTTGTGACGGCTGTTGTGCCATGTTGGTTGGGTTTAGGTTGTGTTTCTGCTGTGACGATGCATTCCTGTACAGCTGTGATGAGAATAAATGTAAAAAAAATAAATAAACCGGATGCTACTCTTTCGCAGTTGTTCTTTTGCATCTCGCCTTCTACAGCAGGCCTGATTACGCCCGAGTCACTTCACCCGCACACAATGGCAGAACATGTCAGTGGAAAATCCTCTGGTAATAATTTTGCTGCTTTTGGAATGCTCTCCAAAAGAATCAGAAACCTAAGTGAATCTATCTCCATTTTTAAGACCGAATGCATTGAATTTTCAGGCAAAATACTGTTATAAATTGCAGAACAAGATTTATTACCTACCCAAACCCGAGCGTACAGCGATAAAATATAACTGAACAGGTAATGTGTATTTTGGCTATTTCTACTCACTGACGTGTGACACAGAAATTTAAGCAATGTGGAAAAAAGAAAATGCCTTTGCCATATGTGGGGATTTCAGTGGGGACACAGGGGTTGATTACCCCCATTAGAAATGTTGGTGATTGTTTGCCAGCTAATATTAAGGAAATGTTGCCCTGGCCTTTGTTTTTCAATCAGAGTCTATAACTTAAATGAGCTGTACAGTGCTTGAAATTACCGGAGATGTGTGTGACAGGTTTCGAATATGCAGAAACTGCAAAAAAAACAAAACAAAAAAAACCTACAACCTGCAGCAGAAGAAAACACCAGGATGAAGGAAATGAAGTGTCTAATGGAGGACTCATGGACCCATCCTGCATAATGTTCCTGACCAGTTTTGGTGAATCGCAGCCTCAGTTTCCTTTCCTTAGCTGATAGGAGTGACAACCGGTGAGGTCTTCTGCTGCTGCTGTCCATCTGCTTCCACGTTTGAGGTGTTGTGCATTCAGAGATGCTCTTCTGCATAGCATTCATTACACACTCTGACCTCTGACATCAAAAAGGTATTTTTACACAGAGATCTGCTGCTCACTGAATATTTTTTCTTTTTCAGAACATTTTCTGTAACCTCTAGAAATGGCTGTATGGGAAAATCCCAGTAGATGAGCAGTTACTGAAATATCTGCTGTCTGTCTGGCACCAACAGCCATGTCACTTTAATCAGCTTTTTTTCTCTGTTCCAATGCTCAGTTTGAACTTCAGCAGGTCATCTTAACCATGTCTAAATGCCTAATGCACTGAGTTGCTGCACTGTCATTGATTAGATATCAGCATTGATAAGCAGTTAAACAGGTGCACCTAACAAAGTGAGTCTGCAGTCAACATTATATTATATATCCAGTCTTATTACTACATTGTTTCTATATTCTGCAGATCTAGCTATGCCAGTTAACTACAATTACATATGGTATATTGCTGTTGACAGGTAAAACTACAAATAAGGTGACAGGCCAGTTTTTATAACCTTCAAATCGTGTAAAAACAAATTCCAGGCACATTCCTGTGCAGCACTGATTTTTCACTGCACCATAGGAGGAGCCACACCTTTTGTTCACCCAATGAAAAGTCCAGTACATGATTAATAGTATTATTCTCAGTGAGATTTTACACTTTCAGACAGGTGTTTGTTGTTAACATGGCTTTCTACATGTGATATGTGCACACAGGTACAGGGGCCCAACTGATTAAAGGATGCTGACATGCAGGCTGGGTTTATCTGTGGTTGCACTTTTTGAGTTTATCCACATTGTCCTGTTATGTCATCATGCCTGCTGGGAGTTAAAGGTCTATATATATATATATATATAGAGAGAGAGAGTTTTTTTTTTTTTACAAACTATTAACTAGTGATACTTGAATTTTCTTAATTTCCTGCCTGAAATTCCTAATAAATTACCAAAAAAAGAAAAATGCCAGATGTAGCAAATGATTGTAAAAAGTCAGAAGTTTCAATAAACACTCAATTTAAAAAAAAAGAAAGAAAGTCAGAAAAGGATTTTATGGCAGTTATAATGGTTCAGGCTTGAAAGGGTTCATTGACCACGATGAACTACAAGTCCCATGATGCCTTGGACCTTGCGCATCTGAAATATGCCGACAGCGTTAACTTTGTTTCTAATTACAGTTTACAATAACTCGTTGTTCTCATGCCCGCATATCAATGAAGACCCAGTAAACAAAAACAGGGACAAAAAAAAACGACACCCCCAGCAGAAACAATTAAGCTAGCTCTGCAGCTAACAGTTAGCCCGGAAATGATAGGACACGGGGGAGGGGCTTTAACCCTGAGAGGGTATGTGAGGGACTTCAGGCGGGCATGCAGGTCTTTTCCTTCTCAGCCCGAGCAGACGATGGACCTTTGAAGACTATATACTATAAACACACAACATGGAAGCAAAAAAGGCCGAAACGATCTGGTCTGCTTCGCTAAATACTTCAAAGGACGGCGGTTAAGAGTGAACGAGGTGAGTACTGGGTCTGCACGTGGAGGAAGTGTACAGCGACTTACATCGCAAGCACGTGCAACCATGTGGCGATAAAGTAGAACTTGTGCTCCGATTTTTAAAGTGCATTCACTGGATTAAGCAACACTTTAGTTAAATGACGGATCCATTTAGCTATTCTTCAAAATTACTTTAAGGGTCACGGTTTTCACGTCTTTGTGGAACCAGTTGTTGTTCAATTCTGCAACAAATATTTTAAGCAATTCTGCGCAAAGTAAAAGATTCCCTGATTCACTCATTACACATTTAATTAATGCATTCTTTCTGTGTATGAATGGTCAGCTGTGTGTTTAGCCTGATACATGTCATAGACTGTATATAAAAGATGGACATAACATTGGCGCCTGAACGTTATTAACACTTAGACCCCCGGAGAGCAGTCATTTTGGTTTTCTACCTTAGACCCCTGCGGAGTCATCATTTTGCGTTTCTACCTTTAAAAGCCGGAGAGCAGTCAGTCAAATGCTGGAGTCATTCATATGTATATTAGGTCGTTACCTAGGAATTCTAGGTAACGACCTAAGGTAACGACAAGGTACCACATGTGTACCTGTAGCAGTGAACACATCGCACAGTGGCCTGATTTTTTTTGCATCTGTGTACTTGGATTTTAGGTCGCAAGCCACCCAAAACTTGCTCCATGCACCACTCAGCAGGCCATTTGTAAATATGTGTACAAATGGTTGGTTTTTTGTACTGTTTTTATCAATAAATGTCAGTACAAAAAACCAACCATTTGTACACATATTTACAAATGGCCTGCTGAGTGGTGCATGGAGCATGTTCATTGGTTCATGGACCTCCCTGAACTAATGGCATTTATGGCAGCAACAAAAGCGGTGAGCTTCCTTTTGTGTTTCATCTTGATGCATTCTCAATCATCCAGGGAAACAAATCTCCAAAAGTCACCAACTTGGAGTGTTTCAGTTTGCCATCTTAGGGAGAAATCAACACACATGGGTGTATGTCCTTTGTTGCTGACATTTATTGATGAAAACAGTACAAAAAACCAACCATTTGTACACATATTTACAAATAATGATAAAAAGTGAGTGAGTACATTTCAACATTTTCAGTAAATGCCATTAATTCAGGGAGGTCCATGAACCAATGAACATGCTCCATGCACCACTCAGCAGGCCATTTGTAAATATGTGTACAAATGGTTGGTTTTTTGTACTGTTTTTATCAATAAATCTCAGCAACAAAGGACATACAAAGGACATGTGTTGATTTCTCCCTAAGATGGCAAACTGAAACACTGAAACATTCCACTCCCCACCCCCTCAATCACTCACTGAGTGATTGAGGGGGTGGGGGAGCTGCTAAAAGCGGTGAGCTTCCTTTTGTGTTTCATCTTGATGCATTCTCAATCATCCAGGGAAACAAATCTCCAAAAGTCACCAACTTGGAGTGTTTCAGTTTGCCATCTTAGGGAGAAATCAACACACATGGGTGTATGTCCTTTGTTGCTGACATTTATTGATAAAAACAGTACAAAAAAACAACCATTTGTACACATATTTACAAATGGCCTGCTGAGTGGTGCATGGAGCAAGTTTTGGGTGGCTTGCGACCTAAAATCCAAGTACACAGATGCAAAAAAAATCAGGCCACTGTGCGATGTGTTCACTGCTACAGGTACACATGTGGTACCTTGTCGTTACCTTAGGTCGTTACCTAGAATTCCTAGGTAACGACCTAATATACATATGAATGACTCCAGCATTTGACTGACTGCTCTCCGGCTTTTAAAGGTAGAAACGCAAAATGATGACTCCGCGGTCAATTTAGCCAATTTAGCTTCCACTTCCACCATTTGACTGCTCTCGGGTTTTATAGGTAGAAAGGTAGAAGCCTGGGGATGCTAGTGTTATTAATGCCTTAGAGCTGCACTTTTGCCTAATTGTCAGCAGGGGGTAAACAGCTTTCTAGACATCTATGCAAAAATGACATTACTGAGGTCAGAGGAAAGAAGCAAACATTTTCCTGAATAATTTGTTTCATTGCTAATAAACCTGATGAAGCAGGATATGCTTTACAGTGGACCTGCTTGGGCCCCTTTATGCTTGCTGCATTGGTTATGTGGTGCTCAAATGGTGATGTCGCCACAGCTCTGTAGCATTTACACCAACACCAAGGGTATGAGTACACACTGCAATGTTGCCACTGCTACATTGTGGGTGTAGACATCAACACTGGAAGCAGAGAAGGGTTTTATTTCATTATTAACAGTGACACGATCATACACTCAGATTTTCAACACAGTGGCGGTAGCTCTCATGTGAGGCTTAAAAAAAATTGAGATGTGCCAACCAGCTGACACAATGCCAAAGTGTGGCATGTGACGACACTTTAGCAAATGAGGGCGAGTATAATGGGCCTGTGAGTCTCACAGTCAGATGTGCTATTTACAAAGAATAAGAATAGAATAATCCTTTAATTGTCCCACAAGGGGAAATTTGGGAGTGTCTGGTTTAAAAATTTATTATTATTAATAATAATGGTAATGCCAGAAATCTTTTGCTTGAGGTGTCATAAAGTCAAAGTGTCACTGACTGTGTCCTTTTATATACAGTTTATGCTACATGTTGCAGACAGTGAGTACCCTCAAAGTCTGAGCAACACTGCTGGACAAACTCATGACGCAGTTTCTG